ACAAATACCTTGCAATTTCAGTCCAAACCCCAATCTTTGAATCCAATTGTTGATAACAACCCCTCCTTTGAAATTATTTTTACCCAATCAGTCCCACTTTGGTTAAAATAATTTACAAACAATCCCTATACTGTAAACCTGTTACAAAACGGTCCCGGTAATACTTCAAGGTCCAAGGATTATGAATTTGCGGTTCACACGGCATGTTTTTCGTTTCTCAAAGGAATGCAAATGCCGTACCAATCGAACCCACGCTTCAAGGGTGAGTTCATACCCCTACATTTTATATTTTTATTAGTTTTAAGGGGGGGAATACAAGTTAAATCATCAATATCATAATTAAACGTTTTCAATAGATTACATCAGAAAGTTGAACTTCAATCACCGACCGTTTTGGTAAACTTAAACATTTTAGTTTTCAAAACAACACAAGGTGCAAGTAGTTCAAGTTCTTGATTTTCAAATGGCTACTTGCACATCACCATACGAGTTTTCTATAATTTATACATAACTCAGTATTGGTATAAATATTGTTTTGTTTACGCTACATGTATTTGTAGTGCATTGTCATTTTGTTTTGTTTACGCTACATGTATTTGTAGTGCATTATCATTTTTAGTCTAATCTCCATAACTATGCCCGTATTCTTGAGGTACGTTATGGACAATAATAACGCTATTGGGTTTACCACCCCACCTTGGGACGCTAAGGTGATTGATCGCACGTGGTTGAGTGTGTATGATGATTAGATGCTCCATCCTATATATATACGTATGTATATGTATAGGGTGAGGACTATTTGTTGTTGTTATCCTTTGTTAATCAACTTTCAATTCTATAAACCATTATCTCAAATACAATTGTTTTCCAATTTCAAAAGAAAACAAATACTATGTTTGTAAGTGAAAAGCATTTAATAATACAAAACAACAACATATGAACTCACCAACCATTGTGTTGACACTTTTTCAAACCACTTGTATTCTCAGGAAATCATTAAACAGGTAACCAAGTGTTGTTGAGAATAGGATGCTAAGACGTCAAACATTTCCTATCTTGTCCATGTATTGTAATTGATTTATAAACATGTAAATCATAATGATGTAACTTTTCAATTATATATATATATAATATATATATATATATATATATGTTGGTTGTGTTTACTTGAATTACTATTGCAATTGTTGTTATGATATTATACATGAAGTCCTCCACCCCCGGACGTTTCCGCCATCCTCGGTTTGGGGGTGTGACATAGACGGCTAAGCCATTTCAACATTACAAAACTACGCATTCCAAAGGTTTTATTTTACTTATTGTTTTGGTTTTGTATTTTTCTAGTTTATTTAAACAATTCAAAAAACTGGCATATAAATAAACGAGTCATTTTCGAGTTGAATTTCTCAGCCATAACCTTACCCGTTTAATTTTCGTGTCGTGTCAACACGTTTATTTAAACGCGTTGAAATATCTTACCCAAACTCGTTTATTTCGTGCCGAGTTCGTGTCGGGTCAATTTTTGCCACCTCTAAAACTATTCGTGGACTCCACCTTGGTATATTTGTCTTTTACTCATCGTTCGTGGCTCACCAATAACAGTCCATGGCCCACCAACAGTATCTGATGCCCCTTATATCTGGGTATATTTATCTTTTCATTGTACCCAACGTTCACATAAAGGATACAAACGTGAACTTTACATAAATAACAAACTTACTTAGAGGATCCTAACTAAACTCGTGTTACCCATACTTCAAAGTTGTCTTCGAAGCGGGTGAAATAACCCATTTCGAACTATGTGGTCATATTTGTAAATTCTTGAAAAGTCGATTACCTAGTTTTACTTTAAATGCGATTATTTTCATGTGATTACCTTTTTATTGGATTTTTAACTAATAAATTACTCAATATTGTTAATCTTGATCGTAGGATAATAACATCGTGCAATTTTATAAACCAAAAACGATTTGAATACGTTATTATAGGATCGTAAGACCGTACAATAATCCCGATCTCACCTATTTTTTAACTTGGTCTTTACTGTGTAAATTCATTATTAACACTACAAAATTAATCTTATAAATTAGTTCAATAATCCAACCCTTATACCTTAATAATTTAGTCATTTCTACTCGAAATAGAGCCTAAAAATATATTAGTTAAGTTCGAAAACTAAACATCACATATCACATGAAACCATATATTGCATCATAGCTTGGTAAGCCGATAATTCTTTATTCTATGATTTTATGATTGTTGTTTAAAATCAAGTTTTATGAATTGTGTTTGATTTTATTTATGAATTGTGTTTGATTTTATTGTACCTGATGAAAGAGCTTAAAAAATAATTATATTATAGAATGAAAAAATGATATCAATGCATTATTTGACATGTATTATATAATTAGTTTAAAATTATATCGATTTTAAGCTAATAATTATGTTCCAAACACTATATACATTTATTTTAGTTTGTGGTATATTTATATCCCGATTTAATCTTACGGATACAATTTTGAAAATAAAATTTTGATCATAGATAGAATCTCGCTATTAGGTTTGAAATAGTTTAATAATAATAAAAAATAGGGAAATCTTCAGAAAAGTCCAAATATTTTGGCAAAATTTTTAATAAAGTCATAAATTTTATTTTTTGAACAAAAAAATCCTAACTTTTTCACTTTTTGAATAGAAAAGCCCAAGAAACCGACAAATTTATTTACTTTAGCCTCATTTTGACCTGTTTAGCAGTTCATGTGACCAAATTATTACTTTTTCGAAAATAATTAGATTTTTTTTGCAGATTTCGTCAAAATTTGTATATAATGTATAAACATATTTTTTACATATCTATATTCTATTTTTACGTATCTGTGTATTTTTTAAGTTTTTATATGTATATATTTACATACTTTTACGTATTTTAAATGTATACACATATATTTTACTTATTTATATGTATTTTTAACCATTTTACATAATTTTTATGTATTTTTATGTGTTATTTTTTTTATGTATTATGTATTTATATGTATTTTTACATATTTATTTATTTTTTAAGCCTTTTTATATAGATGTTTATGTATTTTAAATGTATAAACATATTTTTTTACGTATTTATATATATTTTAAGTATTTTACATATTTTTTGATGTATTTTTATGTATTACGCATTTATGTATTTTTTAAAGTTGTTTACATAGATGTTTATGTGTATTTATGTATTTTAAATGTATAAACGTATTGTTTTACATATTTATATGTATTTTTTAAAGTATTTTACATATTTTTTGTGTGTTTTTTATGTATTATGTATGTATATGTATTTTTTCGTATTTATGTATTTTTTAGTTTTTTTATATAGATGTTTAAGTATTTTTATGTATTTTAAATGTTTAATCGCATTATTTTTATGTATTTATGTATTTTTTTACTTCAAGTCGTCTTCACAATTTCATCTAATTTGCACAGCTTTTCGAGTATGTCTAGATGGTTTTACTACATACCCATATATTTTAAGCTTTTTCCATTCGATGTTTAATTTCAAGATAAGCTAATGGGAAAAGCTTAAAAAATGTGAGTATGTAGGAAAACCATCTAGACATACTTAAAGAAGTTGTACGAATTGGATGAAATGATGAAGACAACTTGAAATAAAAAAAATACACAAATATGTAAAAAAAAATACAGTGATACATTTAAAATACATAAACATCTATATAAAAAACTTTTAAAAAATACATAAATACATAAAAATACATATAAATACGTAATACATAAAAAATACACCAGAATACAAAACAAATATGTAAAATACTTAAAAATACATATAAATACGTTTATATATTTAAAATACATAAAAATACATAAATATCTATATAAAAAACTTAAAAAATACATAAATACACAATACATAAAAAAATACCACATAAAAATAAATAAAAAATATACAAAATACTTAAAAATGCATACAAATACTTTAAAAATACTGTCTATAAATTTAAAATACTTAAACAATGTAAACATATACATATAAAAACTTACAAAAAGACATAAATATGTAAAAAATATATAAATACATAATACATGAAAAATAACACATAAAAATACATAAAAAAATAAATAAAATACTTAAAAATATATATAAATACGTAAAGAAATACGTTTATACATTTCAAATACATAAACATATACATATAAATACTTAAAAATAGCAAAAGTACGTAAAAATAGATATAAATACTTAAAAAATATGATATAAATACTTAAAAAATATGTTTATACATTATATATAAGTTTTGACAAAAACTGCAAAAAAGTCTCATTATTTTGGAAAAATTAACGATTTGGTCCTATTACTCGGTGAACAGGTCAAAAGGGCTAAAGTGAATAAATTAACCAGTTTCTTGAACTTTTCTATTCAAAAAATTAAAAATTTGGGATTTTTCTATTTAAAAAATAAAATTTACAACTTTATTAAAAAAATTTTAAAAATATTAGGACTTTTAGATTCCCCTAAAAAATATTATGTTTTTTATTTATATAAAATATCGATTTAATAGTTGAAAACAACTCCTTTATTTTCGACTTTTTCGAGCGCGATAACACAAATCGATGAATTTGTTTTACTTATTTTTTTGTTCAAAAATTTTCAATTTCGTGCAAATCCCGGTTCGGTCTAGTTTTGTTTAAAGCCGGTCGCTGCTACGAGCAATTTCCAGACGTAAATAAGTGTCATCCTTTGAATGGCCTTTTTTTTTTACAATTTCAATAAAATTTAGGGTTTTACCCATCCATCCATCTCTCTCACGCAACGCAACCATATGGTAAGCTTCTTCCAGTTTCTGGTAAGGTCTCACAATCTCATCTTTAAATTCCACCTTCCTTGAATCGACTCTTCTCTTTCATTTTCATTTAATGATAGTTTCGTTTTAGATACTAGTTCCTTAGATTATTATACAAGGAAAAAAGCCCTAGAAATTTAGGAATTGGGAATCATGGATCAAAACGAGGGCCATGGCGGTGGAGATGCGAACGAGCAATTCAATCGGAACGAAGCAATCTCCGCCGTTGTCGACGAGGGTTTCTTAGGGGAAGACGATGATGATTATGAGGATCTTTACAACGATGTTAATGTCGGTGAGGGTTTTCTTCAAACTCTTCGGAAGAATGATGATGTAGGGTTTAGCAATGAGGAAGAAGTTGAGAAGAAGAAAGTGGAACCACTCCCTCAGCCGGTGCATCGTCCACAACCTTTGGATGATGTCGCCGGTGGTGATGAGACCAAGTTTGAGAACAATGATGCTGTTTCTAGTAGAGTAGAGGCAAATTCGAATGTAAATGAGATGGCAGGAAGGGGATCTGGTGGACCAGTAGGGGGTGGACTTAGAGTTGAATTAGGGCAAGCTAAAGTAGGTGAAGTAGAAACTCGAACTCTGGATAACAACAACAACAACAATAACAACAGCATGCCAAACCTAGGTGCAGGACAACAACAGCCTCATCATGTTCTGACTGTAGGGAATACAGGAAACATGGCGAATTTAAGCAATACTGGAGATGATGGGTTAGCTAGACAACCCAATGCTTTTGGTAACGGTGGTGGTGGTGGCATGAACATGGCCGGAGGTGGTGCTGCTGTTGGAGGAGGCGGTGGTGGAGGTACAATCCTTTTCGTGGGAGATTTGCATTGGTGGACAACAGACTCAGAGCTTGAATCAGAACTTTGCAAGTATGGCCATGTGAAGGAGGTGAAGTTCTTTGATGAAAAAGCTAGTGGAAAATCAAAAGGGTATTGCCAGGTTGAATTCTATGATCCTTCAGCAGCCACAGCTTGTAAGGAAGGAATGAATGGACATGTCTTCAATGGTCGTCCCTGTGTTGTTGCATATGCTTCACCATACAGTGTCAAAAGAATGGGAGAAGCACAAGTCAACCGAACTCAACAGATGACTCAGTCGGCCGTGGGTCAACCAAAAAGAGGTCCCGGAGATGCTCCGGTTAAACCAGGAGGCAACACCATGGTTTCCGGTGGGAATTTCCAAGGAAACAGTGGAGGTGATAACAACAACAACAACAGAGGATTTGGAAGAGGAAATTGGGGTAGAGGAAATGGTCAAGGGATGGCGGGGCGTGGGCCCGGTGGACGTGGCGGAATGGGCGGGCGTGGGATAATGGGCGGGCGTGGAAACGGGTTCGGCCCACCACCAATGATGCATCCGCAATCCATGATGGGGCAAGGTTTCGACCCGTCTTTCGGAGGCCCAATGGGCCGAATGGGTGGCTACGGTGGTTTCCCTGGCGGCCCAACACCTCCCTTTTCCAACATGCTCCCTTCCTTCCCGCCAGTTGGCGGCTTACCTGGACTGGCCCCACATGTGAACCCAGCCTTTTTCAATAGAGGGATGCCGATGAATGGAATGGGTATGATGCCAGGTGGCGTTGATGGTGGGCCGAATATGGGGATGTGGGGAGATCCTAACATGGGTTGGGGTGGTGATGAACATGGTGGAAGAGTAGGTGAATCTAGCTATGGAGAAGAAGCCATGTCTGATCAACAATATGGTGAAGGAAGTGAAAGAGGAAATTGGCAAAATGTAGCAAAAGAAAAAGATTGGTCTGGGACCTCAGATAGAAGACCTAGAGATGAGAGAGAACAACCCGGGTCTGGGTATGACCCACCAAGGGAAAAAGATGTGGTTCATGAAGATGAATGGCCTGAAAGAAAACACAGAGAAGAGAGAGAAAGTGGAAGAGGTGACCGGGAACGTGACCGGTCAGACCGTGACCGTGACCGGGAACGTTCTCGTGACCGGGATCGGGAACGTGGTAGGGACCACCGCCATAGAGATGAAAGGGAAAGGGAAAGAGAAAGGGAGAGATATGGTGATCATCATAGGTATAGAGATGCTGACGTGGAATATGATGATGAGTGGGACCGGGGGAGGTCAAACCGGGGACATGGAAAGTCAAGAATGTCTCAAGAAGATGAACATCGGTCAAGATCTCGGGATGCTGATTATGGGAAGAGGCGGCGTGTGACTGCAGAATGACAGTCTCTAGTGGTGGATTTTATAATGAATTATATCAAGAAAGAAATCATGAAACTCAAGCTTCTGTAATTGTGGTTTTATTGCACTCAAGTTGATGAACATGGTCTTGTTTGGAAACTGGAAAGGTAATATACCAACTCTTACTTTTGATTTTATTTATTTATTTATATTTGATTATCTTGTGTTTTATTTAATGTTTGATGATGATATTTAGGTGTTGAGAGTGGAAGCTTGAGGAGGAAATAGAAAGTGGAAGAACATTGTTTGGTGTTTAGTTATATTTGAGAGTTTGTTTGGAAGTGGAAGTATTATTATGTGTACTTGAAACTATGTTGTGGCCGATTAACTTAGACTTTACTTTACTTTACTACTACTGTTGTTTGAATGTGAGATGATGTATTAGGATTTTTGCTCATGTTTTGGTTTAGGAGGGATTAACTACTATGCCTCTTTTTTGCTTTAGTTGTTTTTATGTATACTTTTTTTTGTTGTATTTTCCTTTTTTTTTTCTTACTTTCTTGATGTAATCTGTAATATGTATGTATATATTATGCAGCCGGCTGTGGCTCATAGGGTTTTAGGTGGGTAGAGGGTACAGACTAAACTCAACTAACTGATTGGATGTTAGATTTGGTAGGTAAATCGTATATATGACTTTGATTGTTTGCGAAGCTTGAGAAAGATCTGTCATGAGATGGGCATACTGTAAAGTTTGATTTGAGTATTATCTTAATTTGTTTAGGAAAAGAAAGTAAACTACTTGTTTTTATTCGGATTCACTTGTAGATTATGATGTGATGTGTTGTTCTGTGTATATGTGCTGTTGAAAGTTGAAATGTTGAACAAGAAATCGTATTCAACAAAATTACATACTTGTAATGGGGTATGCTGCATATGGAATGTACAAAAGGTTGGTGAAAGTAAAACGATGAACACTAAACTTGAGAAAAGGGCCGAGTGTTGTCGGGCTTAATCTTGAGTTGTTCTTTTTGTCGTAGGTAGTTGAAATTGGTAAAGGCCTGTTGATGGATGATAACCTTACAGATTTTTAACTTTTCTATTAAAAGTTTGTCAAAGTGGAAAGCGTTCTCAAAAACTGCCGTAGTTGTGGGGGAGGGGTGAGGTGAGGTACAAATCTGACCCGGTTACACTCCTTTTTATGGAAAGACATGTCTCGAGATTAACTTTTGACAATCAAGTTAAATCATAACGGAAAATGTTCAATTGGAAATCATTAAAAGGTTAGGAACAACAAGAACTTGTTTAATTATTTGAATATTTTGAATTTTAATCAATGACAAAAAATATATCCTCCTTAATAAATGAAGGTTTTTTTTGCCACTTGTCAATCTCTCATGAGTTTTGACACTTGTCATTTTGTGATAATTTTGAAATAAATATTATCCACTTGTCAATTTTTGATTTGTTTTAATTTTTAATTAAAGTCATATACTTATATATGTAAAGTATTAAATATCATATATATGATATTAAATTGTAATAAATATATTTTTTTTTTCTTATTTTAAAGTTGTATATTAAAAAATATTTCTTTTTTTTACTTTAAGTTTAATCATTTTTTAAATCAACCCGTATAATATACGAGTCTCACACCTAGTATCTATGATGATAAAATGTTCAAATAGGAACAATAGAGACTAGGCCAAGCCTTAGAATATTTTTAATTTTTTACCACCAAAAACAACGAAGGTCGTCAAATTTTAAGAAACTTAACATCAAAACTCTACCATCATAACTTCTTTCATTTAAACACTCTCACAAACCTTTAACAACTCAAACTCAAACCCTAACATCATTGCTGTCACCTGTCATGCAGTCGACGTCGGTCCCACCACCGCCTCATACCACTTGTGGAAACAACCTTTCCAACTGCCTTCACCACGTCGGCAACGTCCAATATCACCACTGCCTCCTCCCACCGGGGAAAACAATCGTCGTCATCAAGTGTACGACATCAGATCTCTGACCACCATGTATGTGGTGCTTAACTATTTATAAATATGTTGTATGTGGTGCTTATTATGGATTTGATGTGTGGTGCAAACATGGTGTTCGTTGAAACGACTTGATGAAATAAGGTAAATTTTAAGTTATATATATATATATATATATATATATATATATATATATATATATATATATATATATATATAAAGAGAGAGAGAGCTAGGTTCAAACGTTTCTAGCAACTATTGTGTGCATGTATGCACCAATCACAAATTAGTAAATATTAAATAATTAATTAAATCAAATAAGGGCATTTTCGGTTTTTTGTATTTACAATTAATGATGTCATTTAATTTAATCCTACAATTAAGGAAAGAAAATCAGTATTTTAAAACCCTAAAAATAACCCCTGTCATTCATTTGCATCTACAGATCTTCTTCCTCCAGCGGTTCTTTCTTCCTCTAACGACCCTCTCCTTCGACGACAGAAACATTTAATCGATGCCTCCTCTCCAGCAACGCCTCCCTCTCCTGTTAGAATTTATTTATATAAATCAATTCTTTCAGAATGTTTGTATTCTTTCAGAATGAATTAGTGTTTATTGTTGGATTTTGATGTTTTTGTTGCATTTGTGATAGGAATGGCTTGAATGTATTCTATATATTCTTTCAAAATGTATTATGCCAAAATAAAATCTGTGTATTTCTGCCATAATGTATTCTATGTATTCTGTCATATTCTATTTATTCTACCAGAATATATAAAGTGATAGTTAATTGCAAGTAACATGTTTTTAACCATTATTAGTTTTTATTGTATTTATGATAGAAATGGCTGGGAGAACACGTTGAAGACCTAATAAGAATAACTTGAAGAATGAATAAAGTTTGATCATATTCACAATTTAAGAATGTTGTTATTTTTTTAAGAATTTTATTCATTTTTCTTGATATTCTTTTAGAATATGTACAATTATATTAAAATGTATAAGGCTTTTAGTTTGTAAGAATATGCATGAATTTGTATTTAAGTTCGGATGTATAAAAATATATTGGAATGTTGTTATTTTTCAACCTCGGATTCAAGAATTTTGTTATTCTTCAATAATATTCTAATAGAATAAAATTCTGAAAGAACCTCATTCTAACAAAAAAATATTCTGACAGAATAAAATCGGTTATGTTTACAAATTACTTTAGAATTAAAATTGAATTAATTAAAAAAAATTAGATTTTTAAAATTAGGAGAATTTATTACCCCTAAAAATCCAAAAATTTCCTTTTATAAATATAGTTATTTGTCCAAAATACCCTTTTGCTAAAATTTATATGATTATATGGTACATGTTATCCCATTGTACTATCATACACCCTCAAATTATATATATTGATTAATTTCATCCGTTGGTCCAGATCTGTGCATTCTGACACATAATAATTACTAAAAACAAAATAACTCTCTCTCTCTCTCTCTCTATATATATATATATATATATATATATATATATATATATATATATATCTATATATATATATATATATATGGGGGTGGGGGGGGGGGGGGAAGTAGGGTGGGATCTTTATTTTATTTTTTAAAATTTAAAGTTAGTTAAAATTATATATATATATATATATATATATATATATATATATATATATATATATATTGGTGGGGGGGGGGGGGGAAGTAGGGTGGGATCTTTTATTTTATTTTTTTAAAATTTAAAGTTAGTTAAAATTAGACCTGACAAACGTGTCGTGTCGTGTCGGGTTCGTGTCGTGTCAAAACATTAAACGGGTTGAAAGGGCTTGACCCTAACCCGACCCGTTTAATTATCGTGTCGTGTCAACTCGTTTATTTTCGTGTCGGTTTCGTGTCGGGTTTCGGGTTAAGGTTTAGATCTTGTAAATATGTTGTGTCATGTCGGGTTGAAATATTTTAAATGTTGGAAAGTAGGAGTTGTGGAGGGAAAAAGGAAAAAGTGAAACACTGGAGTTATGAGATGGAATGACAAAATTTATAGTAAGTTTAGAAGGAAAAATGAAAAGAGTTAAAGTTGGAGAGCAAAAGGATAGGTTGTGAGGATGACTAAAATTAAGTAACTTTGAAATTTTGAATATTACTTCTAATTATTGAGTTTGACCCACTATAAGTCTATAACATATAATATATTTATAAAAATATGAAATTTATAATAAATAATATATAATTAAACGGGTCATATTCGAGTCATCTTCGAGTTGAAAATCTTGACCCTAACCCTACCTGTTTAATTATCGTGTCGTGTCAACCCGTTTACATAAACGTGTCGAAATCTCTGACCCTAACCCGCTAATCTCATGTCGGGTTTTCGTGTCGTGTCATGTTTTGCCAGGTCTAGTTAAAATGGAATTTAACTTAAAATCAAAAAACAGTTTTTTAGTCTTTTTACACAAACCAATGACCTTTCCTGGAAGAACACAAAGCCGCACCAAAAAAATAGTACAAAACAGCACCAAAAAATAGCTAGCCAAAATGGCACCAAAAAATCGTTCCAAATAGATTTCACAGTTTGTGTTGTAACCAAAACGCATTCGAACATATAATATGTGATGTAAATTCTAAGATCTTTCTGCTATGAATCTTGTTATTGTCAAGAAGGGTGACAATGATCTACCCGGATTAACCGATGTTGAAAACCAAGAATGAGAGATCCAAAAAGGGCATCAAAAATCCATAAATTTTTCAATCTCTCAAAGGAAGATTATGTTAGTAAGTATGTCAATACATAAAGAAGAACATTCACAAAGAAACCTGGTCAGTTCTTCCCTCTGTTACTTTTTTCCTTTGGATGAACCGGAAAAAGTAAAGGGATGTGTTTTACATGTTATGAGTGCAGGAAAGGAGGGTAGTAAAGCACCAAAGATACAGAGATTGGTTACTCTATTGACCCACTGCAAAGGAAACGAGAAAGAATTATAGATAAAAAAGAAGAGAATTGCAAAACCAAAATCTGAGGCAGATGAGTACCACATAGTTATTGCTGAGAGAG